TATATATATATATATATATATATATATATATATTGTAGAAATTATGATATCAATTTTATCTTTCACCTTTTTCTTTTCTTGACGTGTGTTATAAAAAAAACTACCACTTAAAAGTTGAAATTTCAAGCATTTTTTTGTGTTATATAAAGGAACAAATTCAACTACATAGAATAAAATAAAGCAAGTCAATTAAAGAGAACGAACAGAAGAATAGAGCAAATCAATGACACTATCATTTACATATCGGAGTTTCACAAAATAGGAAAATGAGATGAGAACAGTACTACAATATTATATATGAACAATGAACAATAGTGCAGTATTATTAGTAGAGAAAAAATGGAGAAGATAGGAACTTAGAAAAAAAAAGATGAAAAACTCACTTGAAATTCTTGAAAAGTCACTTCAAGCAATCCTTCAAAATCCGATGGGTTTGGACGTGATTGTTTTATGAATTTGGTATTTATAGATAACACTAGAAAGTCCTTCAAAATCCCTCTCACACAACAATCCTTTAAAATCCTTATATTTTTTTAATACCAATGGATTGTTTTTAAGTTGTAAAAAATCTTAAATGAATACCAATGAATTTTAATGGATTCTTTAAAAAATCTTGAAAATCCAGATTGAATACCACTAAATTATTTTTAAGTGACATAAAATCCTGATTGAATACCAATAGATTTTTTTAAAAATCCTACGAAATCTTAAACCAATACACGCCCTTAAATTTTTTTACAAGCACTGTATCTTATGTTGAATTAACCATCCAATATATTAATATAATGCACAAATTTTAATATTATGTATAATATATCAGTGTAAAAAAAAAAATATTATTTACACAATTTCAAGATTGATCAAATAAAAAAATTGTAATTTTTATGATGTGTATTATTAATATTGTTTGGAAGTATTTTTTGATACCTTTAAAGGTGGTGGGTGATTCAGACAATTAAGAAGGCCTTAACAAACAACAACAACAATTAATAACTACATTTATTTTTAATATATTTTCTACACTTATTGATTTAGACATTGAAATGATTGTGCAAGTGATAACATTAACCACGTTTAAAGGTACCAAAAATACCTTTGAACAAATATATTGGAATAAAATGTCGTAAAACTTAATGTTTGCATCGAGCTACATTATCAAAGATTTATGGTATTTTACTATATATACTAATTAATTGATAATGACTACAAAATTTGTGGCAATCACTTAATTGATATAATATTATTTTAACATAAATTGTGATTGTATTTAATATTTGTTATTTTTTTTTTGCCATGTCCATAGACCCAAATGATAAAAAAAAAAGTAACAAATGGTTGTTTTTCATCAATTTTAATGTGATTCTATCTTAAAAGTGAATTATGGATGAGAAATTAAATATACGCTAATTATGGATTGAAACAAATCCCTTCCCTTCTTCTATCTTTAGATTGGTATTTTATTCTCTCCATTATTCTTATTACTATCACTAAAGTTAAATATGAAATAAAATAAAATAAAAAAGATAAATTTGAAAGTTGTATAACTTTGCGTTTGGGATCCGATTAAATGAAGGTGAAGCAAAGCAAACAGAATAAGTTAACGTGGATGTACTTATACGCAATTGTTTATTATCCAATCATCTTTCTTTTTCTTTGCGTACTCGAATCAAATTCCATATTATTCTTAACAATTTCGTCTCTAAATTCATTAACATCGCTATTTTTAATTCAAATCACGTGTGAGAACTCATTCATGTGTTGGTCCAATCTTGTGCAAGGATTCGATCAATTTTAACGTCAAATTTAATATAGTATGTCAATGTGTCTTTTCTTTTTGTTTGTTTGATTCTTTTAAGTAACTCAAAAATAAATGTCGCAAGTTTTGCTAAAGATGCTTATGTTAACGTTATTTGTTTCTACCAATTCATTTCTCATTCTACACATTTCTTTTATGGAAGGAATAATTTCTAACAATGATTCCACGATGCTCTACAAAATCATAAACTTTTCAACGATAGCAAGCAACTTTGTTCTCCAAACATTTAATAAGTTAAATCTTCTAAACTTGAGGTTGATGGCAAAGCAATTCTTATAAGTTATATATGGACAAAATCAAATTTATTGACCAAGTATTTATAAGACATGTTTTGGGATACAAAAGTTGATCTAGTACTTTTACATTTTATTTTCGTGTGTTAAAATAATATTTAATTAGAAAAATCATGTTAGTATATTATTAATTTTGTAATACTGAATAATTATATTATAAAAGAAAAAAAGTGTTATGTGAATCAAATGTTTAACAAATTTCAAAATATTATATTAATTTTTAATCGTCAATTTTAAAATATTATATAATCATGTTTAAGAAGAAGAAAAAAAAAGTGTTATATCGACGAACCATACATCAAATGTCTAGGAAATCCCAAAACATTATACTCTTTTCGTTTGTCAAATAAGAATTAATGTTAATTGAACCTATCTAGGGAGAGAAAACCACCAAACTGGAAAATATTTTAATATTTCATTCTCTCAGTTTAATACAAATTCTTGGTAATCGCCTATTGACTGGGAATTAGTAGAGGAAAAATCAATTTCTTGGTAGAAAATAAATTTTGGATCTTGTGATGTAATGATGGATAGCATAATATATTTTTCATCATACAATTACATTATTTTGGTAATAGTATCGGCAGATTGTGATGCGTGAAAATTTACATCACAATCTGTCAATATGTTGTTATTTATTAAAGTAGATGATAAAACTTATTTACATCTCATGTATTATATTATATATACCTTGAACTTTTTGCAAGATTATGAAAATGACGATTTTATATTATATTCTTCATTTAAATTTATATTAGCTCTATATATACTTGTACTTAAAAAAATTGCCATAGATTTTCATCCATGTGCACTTATTTTATGCAGTCCAAATGTTAATATTTGTAATTAAGCAAGTTAGGTCCCGTCCTGATTTTGTTACGTTTTTATTTTTATTTTTATTGTGAAATGTGGTGTATAAAGAAAACTTTCAAAGCTTAAATCACTTATTTGTAATCATTGCTCTAATTTTATCCTTCATAACTCTTAAATAATATATAATAAACTAAACTAAAATAATCACTTCATAATTTTAAAAGTAATCTGTCAAAAAAAAATAGCAAATTGTGGATGCACAAGTTAGTGTCTGTAAGAATATTTTAAATTAAAACACATTTTATAATGTGAAACAAAAATTATTGATAATAACTATTATATTAAAATAGATGATTCATATTAGAGAGATACAAACAAAATTATCTTACATTCCAACATTATAGTTGTTGATGGAACTACTTGGAGAAGATAGTTGTTCATCCAAGTCTCCATGCAAAGGACTGAAGAACTCTTGAGGTAGAACTCCTTGAGGTGGCAGAATCACCTTGGAGTATTCTCTAATGGTGGAGAAGCAATGGAGTAGGTTCAGTTATTTCCTAGCTTGTGAAGGAAGCTTGAGGAACCAAGGCAA